GCTTGGATGCTTGTTTTTAGAATTGGCTCATTCTGTGAATGAGCGATACTTGATCTGTTTTGTATCTTTTGAAATGTGAACAGTATCGAGGAAATTCTGTAGCGGAGAGAGGGAAGAAAATCAAAAAAATAAAATAAATTCTTGTTGCCTAGGGACCAGGAGCATCTTTATACCAAGATTGGTTAATGCGGGGTTCATCCAGACGGACAGACGGACGGACAGTTCTTGATCGATATATCTAGTCGTTCTAATTAAGAATATAAGGGTATATACTATAGAGTCGGATATGCTTCCTTCTGCCTGCCACATACTTTGCAAAAACCTAATATAATTTTTTTACCTAACGGGTACAGGGTATACAAATAACGAGCTAAGACGTAACATTTACTGATATAGTTATTTTTTGTGGGAATTTACAAACTTGAACTCAAAAACCACCAAATTAAATTTTAGGAAATTCGAGAATCTAACACACATTTTCCAGCATTTTCTTTCTAGCTGCTACTAACCCGAATCCTTTTAAATTTCATCCAACGTATGTTTCCTTTATTTCCTTTATTTCTGAAAATTTATACAAAGTCCTCCACCACATAAAATATTTCTGTATTAATGACTTTTCCGAAACAACTTTGGAAGTACTTTATTCTGGCATTCGCACAACAACATTTGACAAACAGGCAGACTTTCGCTATTTCGTGTATCAAATAATTCCAGTCGGATTTTGGAGGATGTTTTTAATATGTGATTATAAAAACCATGCTCGTATGTTTTATTAATATATATGTATTTATATTTAATATGAAGGCCTTGTGCCATATCGTTGTTGAAAGTTATTTTTACTTAATCTTTTTTTTTTGATATTGTATTTACACCATTTTTCAAGCGCTAATAGTTATTTGAGATGCATTTCCAATAGTTATAATAAGTTAATATAAAATATTTCACCAACGTAATGTTTTGGCACTACCATGAGTTTATTAATATTGGCATCTATTCACACTATCCCAATATTTTACTGACTACTTAATTGACCTCTTTTCTCTCTGTGTATAATTGTGTATCGCATTAAAAATATTAAGACCACAGACATACTAAGCCGCCTAAAGTGCCAGCCTCTAACTAAGTTAGCTTGAGATATAAATCAGAGTCCTGACTAAATACAAGTTAGCTTGCTTTGAGCTCCTATGGATTTGTACATACTACATGGGGTCTTCTAATTGACAGAGTTGAGTTTATTATTTTGCTCACAAATAGACAAAAAATTGAGCTATTTGATGTTGAGGACAAATTTAGATTGGGCGAGCAAATTGCGATTTGTACAGACAATCACATTAGTTTCACAAATTTCGTGGAAATTTTTGGCTTTTCTGCAGCAGTTAGTCCTGGTTAGAACTGCACGTACACAGCCAGACAGAACTGAAAGGAACTTTATTCAATAGGAACATATGTATAGTAGGTCCTTAGACTAGCAGTATGCAGACTTGTTATACATTGTCAGCCAGTTGGAACAAATTGATTTGCTGTGACATGCGACAAAGTCACTGCAGACAAATACCATAATTTACTAGGCACGTTGCGGCCCCCAAAAAAGAAAATATGAACATAAAAAGAGCACAGTTTTCCAGGCTACATGATCTCTGCAGAACAATTAGAAGTGCGAAGGTTCATGCGTTGCAAATTGTAACTGGAGACAAAAGGACACGATCGTCTACTGTGTGTGCCAGGCCAAGGGCATCCCTAGGCAGTCGTCGAGGCATGCGCATTGTCCTGCTGGGCAGCACACAAGGATGAAGAAGCTAGAGCCACACATTCCTTTCAATCCAACTGATGCGTATCTTATGTGTGGGCGACGCCAAGGCGAACATGTCTGGACAAGCACTTTTGATTTTCGAGACCAGTCATGCTTCATTTAGTAGCCGGCGAGACCATGCCACAATTATTCATTTATTTTTTCAGTATACTCGTATTTCCCAGAAATAAATGAGCGCTGTGTGGATAAGCTGGAATCGATTTGTTCCGAACGTTGCAATTCAATTGAGAAGTCTTCAGCAATTTTATCCATTTACCCGTTTCGTTCCAGCTGCTCGACACGAACTATTGGATTGCCAGTCTTATTCTCATTTCTAACCGGTACTAATTAAAAGTTACTTTGAAATAGGTGCTTGTTTACTCAACGTCTCTGAATAACACATCTAGAATGACACCGGAAAATTGGCGATTTTCACGATAATTCAAATTTATCGTCATCATTAAATTGCTTAATTTGGGAAAAGGAGGTCTGTTTTGAGAAAATCCACTATAAACTTCAACTCTTATTTGTTTTTTATTTATTTTGAGCCTTTGCAAGTCATGGGTGAGATTTTCACAAACAGAAATACTTTTTTGATTTTCCAGCAGCTGGCTTTATAAATATTTATTTGTCGACGTCTTTGATCCCTCAAATAAGTTGTTGATCGAACCTAAGTGGACGGGTAATCAGTGTGCATGCAGTTTGTTTTCTTATTTATTTTCATGTATTTATTCATTTTGCACATCACTCGACTTATTGTTACCTCCAATTTAGCTTACCTTTTACAGTATATGGGAAAACATACCCACACTTAAAGGTAAAGCAAGCATGCTCACAATAAATCCGTACACATTATTGCTGAAGAAGTCAGTTAGCTGCAAAAGAACAAAAAGGTAGTTTCATTGTACAAGTAAAGCGTAGAATCAATATTTAATGAGATATGTTTACACACCAGAAACCTTTTTCACAATCGTTCCATTAGCCAAACCTAATAGTAGCCGCCAACATCAACGGGATTCTACAAAAGGAATTGCTTTGGGTGGCATTTAATTTCCATTTTACAACTTATTAAATATATTGAATTAATGGGTTTATAAATAAGTATACACGGCACTTTCACTTCTTTCGTTTTACTAATATACAAGTATTGTGAATAATTTCCCAATGTGTTGCACCATTATTAGATCATACAGTATAAATTATATCATTTTATATAACTACTTAGGTTAGCTTGCGATGGCTGGGGTGCTGTTCAAACCCGCCCACATAGGCCAGAGGATGTGATGCCATATGGATTGTGATGGTCCGCCCCAAACCACCTGGAACATTTGAGAAAATTGAAAATTGAGAACAACACAGAACACCTCTGTGCTTTCCTCCTCTCCTACGTCTCTGCAGCTTCTGCAGAAATCATTATGTGGGATGCCAATGCTGGCGGCGTGACGACCAATCGGACAGTGTCCAGTAAGTGCCCCCAGTATCACTGAGACTTCTGTTCTTTTTGCGTCTGGGGCGTCCATGCCAACTTTACTTTGGTGGATTGGTTGGTGTTATCCCATCCCATCGTTGCTGGGCTAACGCATTTGCATTGTTGCGTGTGTGTAGGCGGATGGCGACTAGCGGCATGCCAATGTCTTCCTCGTCAGGATGGATGGGTAGCTGCGTAGTTCCCTCCCTAGCCAGTTCGTCTGCAATGCAGTTTCCTTCTATATTCCGGTACCCCGGTACACATACGAGGTTAACTAATGTTAAATATTGTTAAATAATGCGAATGTTTTATTTTGTTGAATGAGAATATTGAATGAAAGAATACCTTTGTGGAAAAAACCATTAGCTAATTATCTTATCTTTTTCTCTAACTTCGAGCTTAGTAAAAATAAAAATTAGCCTACATTTAATTATTGGTATTATAAAAAAACAGCTTTATTAATTTTAATTGTTTTCAAAGAAGGTTTGAGGTGAGACATCTATGTTTATTGCCACTTTTCTCTTATGTGCAACATATACATGCTGCACAAAATAATAATTTCACTCTCAATATTATAATACCAATATACGAGTATACTTGTACTTCTAATTATGTTTTTACAGAATTTTTATTTAACACTGTTCGCAAATTTAATTATTTTGAATGTTGTTACTCGATTGTATGCCATTTAGCACGATTCAGAATAACACAACACAAATAAATAAAAACACACACAGCTCACAAACAGCTAGAAACCATTACAAAGTTATAAAGGATTATACGGAGAGGTAGCAACTATGGCCAACAACGGCTCATAACAAAGTACACTGTTAAAAATGTGGATGCCGATCGAGCAAGAGAAAGTACCGTTTACAATTATTCCAGCGATGATAGTGATTTTATACGCATTCGAATTGGAGTGAGACAATTAAATTTGTGTATTTATGATTATCATTTTAATTTTTTTTCCTTAAAAATTGAATAACCTATTCTTCTTGTCAGCAACATAAGTAGCTGTTTTACGAACATACATAATTGTTTTTAGTTCCTGAACTTGTTACACATTTAATTACATTACATACTTTTAAGCTTAGAGTGCATATCTTTTTTTCTTTAATAACTTTGACTGTGTAAATACACATTATATATGTGATTTAATAAAATAATCATGAATACTTGTTCTTAAAAATTCTTTGTTTTTCCACTAATTATAATAGGTTTGAGAGGTAAGGAACCAATCACCATTCTTTGCATACGATTAATGACTTTTTGTACACGTTTTTTTCTGAAACCAATCTACCGTGTAAAAACGGAATTAGATGCTATATATGAAGCTATAAACGCAGCTGTGAAAAATATCTGCAATGATTTTGTTAATTTATTTTTATTTACATGTGATCGATTACTTTGAATAGCTAAGGGTTGGAAAGGACATGGTCGCACAAATACAATTACGCATGTATGTAGGTGTGTGGGCAAGTCGTTATGAGATCTTTTCCTGCACGGCATTCGAGCAATACGTTCGTCACAGGTAGGCCGATTTACCTGCACGGAGAAACACAGTTGAGACTTGTTAACAGCAACAATTGGCATTTGAGTTCTCTCCCCTGTTGCCTGCCTTGTCTATTTGGTGAGACTCTTCTTCTGGAAAACCGTATAAATTGGCGAGCAAACTGAGCAGGGACATCATTCTATCTGCAGTTGTGAGTCCGTGCGGAACTGTGAAAAGCAAAGAATCTGAAAATGTTAGCCGAAAACGTTCTTCGTGAAAATACCAGCGGCCAGAGCGATTGCCCTACCAAAAAGAGCAAGGGCTCTCGAGTGGGTGCTGCAGTGAATATGAAGAAGCTGTTGAAGGCGGTCAAACAGATCTTTGTGTCCTCGGTGTCTGGACAAAAGCGAGGCGTCGACGACGTCATCACGCATACTTGCGCTACAGAAGAGGAGCATCAGAATTGGCTGAACGAACAACTGGAGGCTCAAAACACGATGTCCACCTAATGCATCGGCTATGAACCTCATTAATCTGTGATGTGACTCCGTTGCTGCAACTGCAACGCGACTCCAAGGTCGGTAAAGTGGCACTGGCTTTAAATTGCTGCTGTGATGGCGAGACCGCAAGACTGACAGCTTCTGTGCCTCGAAGCACCATAAAACATTAAGTCTGCAATGTAAAATATAAAACTACACATAAGGACATCAATAAGCTTTAAAATGTGTATACATACATAGATATTTAGTGTATAGTTTTAGATAATCATTGTCTTCCATTAGTGTTAGTTTTGTCTTCCAATTGTTTGTTTGTTTTAATAAAAATACCCTAAGAGGAGAAAGAATACTGAGTTCTAAAACTTGTATTGCAGGCCTTGGTAATGAGAACCGCTTTCCTTTTCTTTTGTTTCATAAACCATGCAATATGTCTTCCTTTATGTTATCGTTCAAAGCGTCTACTACATCATTTATGTAGAGTTTTAATAACATAAAGATTGCAACTAATTTAAATCATTTAATTAGTTTAAGAACAACGTGATTTCGTTTATAGACCCTTATAAGAATAACTATCTTCAAAGGTATAAAAAATGATAACGCATTACAAAATCTTTATAAGATATTTAGTAATGTATATAAAAACACTTTTTTCTAATAGGTATATAATATACCTTTTATAATAGGTAAAACTATTCGCTACATTTTAAATACAAGGATTATTTGAGGTTATATCAAAAGTTTAGAGTTAAAGGAAGTAGTGCCCGCTTAAGACTTCTTTACTTTTGACTTCTCAATTAAGCCATATGCGACATATGTGTATAAGCGTTATCCTCCAGTGCAGCCAATTTAGAGTTATTCAAATTCTACAAGCTATTCTACGGGTAATCAAATATAATATTTCGCAAAATACTGTTGTTTTTATTTCCGATATATGTATGTGTAGTGTAAATTTAAGCATCAAAAATGAAAAAAGTATAATTTGATAAACGCGCATCGAATAAAACACACGAATAAAACATATTGAATAAGGATTGGCATATTGTTTTTGAGTAACGCTGCCCGCTTGTGAAACTACATTTCAACGAAACTAAAAGAAAAAGCGATTGCAGAGTCGAATGCAGAGTCTTAAAAAAGCACTTTTGAATAATTTCCAACTTTTAAAAATGTTTAAAATTCTAATTGATTTTCAAAACAAAGCTCCTTACAAATAATAAATGGCATCAATATAATTAATTAATAATTAATTAGTGAATCAAGGATTGATCTTGCTAAGGGTTAGCAGAATATGAACACTAAATTTGTGCTTCTGGAACATCAAACTCGTGTATCCTCTTAACCCTTCGTATGTATATGATGCATATCTGCAATATACTGCTTAAACTCAATTATTTTACAGTAAGTATATGCGCGAAATTTGCAAGTTCCTATTTGATGTAGTTCTAGATTGATTCGTGGGATGCAAGCCAATTAGAGGATTTCTGTATTTCATTTTTATACCCTGTACCCAAAGGGTGAAAGGGTATACTAGTTTTGTGCGAATGTATGTAACAGGCAGAAGGAGGCGTGGCAGACCCCACAAAGTATATATATTCTTGACAGATGAGCCCGAGAAAGGACGAGTTTGTTCATTTTTCCCGATGCGCCCTCCCACTCCCCCCCTATTCAAGATTTTCTAGACCTCCCGTAATTCTTAGAATTTTAAACTAAAATTTGGTAGACACATCCAGTTAGTAATTATATATCCGTATACCAAGTTTCATTATTATTAATTAATTAATTTAATTAATTAATTAATTTAATTAAATTAATTTTTTTTTTGTGGGGTGGTACAGGGTATTTAAGAGTTGCGCCTGCTCGACTTTAGCATTCCTTTCTTGTTTGAATATATAAAGTACAACTAAAAATTCGATAAATATAGGGTCGCTTTAACAAAAGAATAATTTTTTTAAATTTTCATTTCCAGACATTTTTTGACCACAGAAACAACTTTAATTTCGCTTTTTTTTTATCTATGGATTAAACCGCATTGAAATAAAAAAAAGGACATATGAAGGGTATAGAGTATACAAATCCAGCAGCATACTTTAATGGGCAAAAAGGGTCATCGTACAATTAGTGAAGATTTTATTTAAAAGAATAGCATACTTTTCGGCATTGATCTTCATATCTCACCATAAGGTAAGTGTGAGTTTTGTCATGTCGAAAAGTATGCAACAGAAATTTTGTGTGATGGCGTATGCATGTACATATACATATGTATATCCATGAATGTACTAAACTAATTTCATGTATGTATGTATATTCATATACATACGCGCATAGTTTCAATGTCCGGGAATCAACCTAAAATTAGTTCAAAATGGCATTGTTACTATATAGTGTATACAAAATCAGCGACATCAGATGTGATATATATTTCGCTGTTCAAAGATAGTAAAGGAATTAAAATGAAATATGATTTTTTGCGAATATGTACATACTTTGTTCTCAAATGGCTATTTTTATAATGCCATTTGAACATTTTTAATTATACAAGATTTTATTATTATACACATATGTATGAGTGAGTTATATTTATATTATTTTTGTGGTCTTAGGCATTTTTCCAATACCATAAGACTTTAGTTGATACAATTGGAGCTCCACTTCTTCCTTAAACATTTCATTAAACAAAGGATAAATTGTATTTAACGAGTCATACTATACAAGTAATTGTAGATTGTTGCAGATTCTTATTGCGGATGCGAGAGCAGAGTTTGTACTTTTGGGCGCTGTGGTTGGTGGCGACGCGTAAAATTGCAAGTCCAAAGTCGGAGCAAATGTATTCATTATGGCACCAGTTGTCGGTTGTTTTTAGCTGTTTGTCATCAGCCTCGCCGCTTTCGCACCACGCGTTTTGGGACGCACGTGTTGTGCATTTCTGAGCATTTACGGCGCACACAGCATCAAAAAGTAATATCGAATCAACGAGATTGCCTCTGTGGGACCGACTTGTCGAAATTGAATTAATTTTTATTTGTCTCGCTACCTTTGTGTTTCTGCTGGCCAACACATGCTTCAAATTGGGTCATTTTACTTTTTTACTCTTTCTCCAAGGATTCGCCGTTGTCATCGTCGTCGCCGCCGTTTGCAGATAAATGCAGCAGAGTTCTCACATCGACTACTCAATGAACTTTCTGAAATAACTTACATGAAACTGCAGAGCTTAGAAGAATATAATATAATGGCTGTCAATCTAAAAAGCTACTGTGAAGATCGATTTGATATACACGTACGCGTACGCGTAAGACGAAAAAATTGAAATGTTAAAAGTTATTACTATTATCTTGAGTATACTTATATAGTGCCATGTTCAATTTATACAAACTAATTCGTTTTATTTTTCAAAACTCATATTATTTTTAGATTAAAGTCCAGCCCATATTGTGAAAGCAACTCTTTTGCATCCTATTTCATGAACAACTGCGATAAAACGATTTGTTTAACTTTCAATTATAAATAACAATATATCAACAACAAATGTATTTGAGTATATTAGTTGATTCACATAGTGCTTTCTATTAAAAAAACAACAAATTTTTCAGGTAAATTCGGAAGAGAAAACATTTTCATTATTCAAATGTCTTCTAGCTATGCAATAACGCATCCTGTTAAACCAGTTTTCCAAGACCTTAGTGGTTCTTTCTTCCAAATGGCTTGCTCGGTATTCGTCTAAAGGGCCTGAATTGTTAATGGATCGTTCGCATAACATCGGTCCCTCATGGCACCCTACAAAACAAAATCAAACCGCGTCCAATCGCAGCTCCGAGGTGGGGCGCAAAACATCGATTGAAGCGATCCTGCTGAAACCAAAGATCCATGCTAAATAACATATGAATAAAACGAGATACCAACCTATACGTAGAGAGTAACTTTTCTTACATACATGCATATGTAAGTAGTAATCATTAAATTGTTTTTTTTTTTTTTTTGCCCAACGATATCTTGTGATAGGTAGTTCTGTCCAATGCAATGTTTAAGCAAGATGGTAGCATAGGTGTTAACAAATTTACTATAACCTTTAAGGAATAGGGTAGAAAGCAATGATTTAACCTATATAGCGTACTTTGTATGCAAGAGGTGTGCTCGATAACAATAAAATTGCAATTAAACTTGCATTACAAAATTACAAATTTGGCGTTTTTTAATGTTTTTATTGAAGGTTGGCTGAGGTGCGCGCACGATATTTAAGGGAATAAGCCAACAAAATCTGTACACAGTAGTGTTTCCAATTTGGTTGAAGTCCATGGCTTTTCACTTTCGTTTTTACTGATTATTATACATACATAAATACATATAATATAATTTTCAACGTGAATTAGTAATGATTAAAAGGCTTTTGCACTGATTATTATACATAAATATAATATAATTTTCAACGTGAATTAGTAATGATTAAAAGGCTATTGCACTCATCGGCGCGAGTTTCTAATGTACGATATTTTTTGCAATCAAACAAAATACTCATGTCATAGCTGGACCACCTAGATTGGCGCTCCAAATAGAATTTCAGCTTCGATGTAATACAATATCTTTTTCTTTGACGTCCTACGATTGCTGAAGTTAAGCGTCCAATAAAATAAATAAAACGGAGGCTCAAAACGAAATCAGTTTACAATAACAACAGCCACCATTTACAAACAATGAAATGCCATGCAATAATTCCACATTCGATTGAATTTTAAGTACCCCAATCGCAGAGCGCAAGCTCGTACCTGCGCACAGTGGGATTAAGAGTGGGAAGAAATCGATACAATATCTAATATTGGACTACACACATCGTGCCACATCGCTTTGCTGAGGTTCTTAAGACGAATGAGTCATATTATCATTTGAGAGATGGAAACGTAATTTTATTAAAACTTACAGGAAAGACGTTATTTTTTTTTGTGCCACACTTATGGCCACTTGTGCCACTTAATTATGATGATTTGTCACTTAAATGGCTTTCTTCCACTCCATTTCCACGTGAA